GTCCTATTCGGTCCTGGACCGCAGTCCGGTCCGGTTTTTTTAAAAGACTGGCAGTCTTTTAACCAGGACGGACCGGATGGACCGATTACAGCCCTACTGCCGATCAACGGTGCGGACCGCCGCCAGGTCTACGGACACGTACCACTCACGTGATTTACCTACCGATTACCGGCATATGACATACCGATGAGTAGATGCATAAGTAAGTAAACAAGAAAACTTTATTGCACAAGCAGTCTCTCAAACCCGAACCTGCCAAAATTGATAACCTGATTGATTTTAACAAAATACTGTTGAACCTTTCAAACACGATCCTGTTAAAATCAATAACTTGTCAAATCTGATAGAAATTAATTCACCAAGGTCGCTTTCTCTATATAAACCTAATACTTTTGAATTTCTCAAAACTGATGTGCACGGTAGACAGTATCAGTATTATGAGGTCATCAGGTTTGAAACATTTAAACTACTAGATTTATGAACTGGTAGATTAATTTTTTATCGGATTTGACAGGTTATCAATTTTGGCAGGTTCGGATTTGAGAGGTTCAACACTGCTTGTGCAATAAAGTTTTCTTGTATACTTACGTATGCATCTACTCATCGGTATGTTATACCGGTAATCGGTAGGTACAAATCACGTGAATGGTAGGTGTCCGGAGGTTTCCCGGTCGGACACCACATGAAGAAAGTTGAATCATGTGACCAAGTTGAAACCACTCTATTTACATCTTATATTTTATTAGTTCATGGTAATAACAGCATAGCGATAGAAATAATTTTTAATTTAATAAAGAATTCAAATAAAGAATTTAAGAAACATTTTTATATAAAAACTTTAAAGAAAATTTAAAAAAAATTTAATAAATTTAAAAAAAAAAAATAATCGATATGTAGTTCATTTTTTGTGCCATATAGATAAAATGGCATGTGATCTTCTGGGTATTTGTCATGAAGATATCTTGTTTGGAGACCACGTTTTTTAATGACCTTAATGTTTTTCATTTCAACGTTCATTTTCCAGTGTTGACTAAATAACGAAAGAACGATTAATAAAATTTTTTAATAATTTTCATATACCCCCTTTTGACAGCAAATTTGTACAAAAGAACAACTAATTTTGTACAGATGAATGTTCAACTTCATACAAGAAAATAATGATAATTTGTAATCTGATTTGAATAATTTTGATACCATTTGAATCATCTTATTGAGAGGATTCAAATGGTATCAAAATTATTCAAATCAGATTACAAGTTATCATTATTTTTTTGTACGAAATTGAATAAAGGGGTTAATATCACAAAGTTAGTCTTACCCATCAGGCGAAGGCAGACCCTTATCGATCACGGCTTTAAATTCTTTTCCCGAATTAATGTTGTTTTATCTTGATTTCCTAAAATGAAACCTTGCTTTGGATTGTCTTCTCTCTCCTTAATATATTCATCCATGATTTCCTTAGGTAGTTCTGCTTGAAGAATTAATTGATATCTGTGATTCTCCATGTTAAACATAGGAAGATGAACAAGATAAATTTTTTCAATCCCTTGAATAATAAATCCGTGAATGTCTGGCGTGACCTTATTACGATAAATGCATTTCTGTAACATTTAATATTAAAAGTTAAATCGTATTTGAATATACGGGTATTATTCATATAAATATCACGTATCTCCACCTCCTCCTCTAAAATTTGTTTAAAATTTTCTGTCAACTGACTGAAAAAGTTTCCAGCCGTTGGAAATGGAGACATGACAACGTTTACAAGTGCATACAAGTCTTGATTTTCATCTACTTTAAGACCAAGGCGCTTTTTAAAATTAGTTAAACATTTTCCATAA